ATGCCCACATCCTAATCCGTGGAACCTGTGGATGTTGTTACCTGGTATGTAGGCAAAGGAGTGAATATTACCCAATATGGCAAAAGATGTGATGAAATTAAGGATCTTGAGAGGAGGTGCTTATACTGGATTATCTGAAGGGACTGTAAATGTAGTCAAATTGTTATGTGAGAGGCAGAGGGAGACAAGACACAGGCAGAGACGAGAGTAAGGCAGACACAAGCCAGGAATGCGGGCAGCCACCAGCAGCGGGCAGAGGCCAGGAATGAATTCTGCTCCACGGCCTCTGCAGGGGGCACAGCTGGCCCACACTGTGATGCCGGGCTTCTGGCCTCTGTACCTGTGAGAATACATTTCTGTTGTTTAAAGTCAACAAGGTTGGATAACTTGTCACAGCAGCCCCAGGAAACTCATGGAGTTGTCTAAGGTTGCCAGAGTTTGGTTTCTGTCACTTCTTCCTAAAAAGGTCCTGGCTCACACGTGGCTTTGAGTCTGGCCAGACTCCTCAAGGCTGAGTCCAGCTGTGGCCCCCATGACCAGGAAGAGGCCCTGCCTAGCTCGTCCACACCTGAGTGTCCTACCAGGTGGCCTGGCTGCTGTCGCCCTCACCTTCACTCAGGAAGACTGTGGCCATGGCACCGACCTCATCCCTGTGACCAGGCCTCTGTTAGCTGTTGTCAACATTGAGCCTCTAGCTGGCAGGTGGCTGGGGGCTGGGAGTGAGGCTGGGAGGCAGGTGCTGGAAGCTTCTGTTGATTTATTGGTGGAAACTTCACGGCTCATGAATGCCCACTCTGGCTTGGAGGCTGCTAATGTACAAGGTCAGCATGGAAACTGCTCACTGCCCAGTGTCCTTCCCTGCCCCTCCTTCATGGAGCCAGGTGGCGCCAATTTCACAGAACCATATCATTCTTTTTTAAAGACTTTATTTATTTAGTTTTAGTGATGGGTGAAAGGAAAGAGAGAGAAAGAAACATCGATGTGCGAGAGATACATTGATTGGTTGCTTCTTGTATGCCCTCAACTGGGGACCTGGCCCACAACCCAGGCGTGTGCCCTGACTGGGAATTGAACCAGCGACCTTTTGGTTCACAGGCCGGCACTCAGTCCATGGAGCCACACCAGCCAGGGCAGAACCAGCTCATTTTTACAGGAAGTGTGGATGTTGCCAGTAACATCCCCAGAGGAGCAGAAGGACAGGGGCTCTGCAAGGCTTCGGGAGACATCCCGAAGCTGGACAGAAACTGGCTACTGAGTCTGGCATGCACGTGAAAGGAGGCAGAGATAGGACCCTGCCTCTCTGGGCTGCAGCGCCGGCAAGGCCTGAGCTGGAGGATTCTCGGGAAGCTGTTCTGCCGGGGACATGTCACCCCACACCCAAAGGAGCCTCCAGTCCAGGGCAGAAGATGCAGGGAGGAAAATTAAGATGAGGACACACACAGGAGAACAAAATACACAAACCTCACAACCTGAGCCCTCGAGAGACCAGGGTGGAGCCAATGAGGAAGAAAGGCGCCCAGGGCGTGTGGGTGGGCCTGACGGCTGCTCCTGTGCGGCAGGCATCACACAGTCAGTGGGGCCGCCGGGTCTAGTCCCTTGAGTTGGCAACACAGGGAGGAGGGGAATTCTTGCCAGGCACTGCACACAGCCAACCACGCAGGGCTGCTGAGTGTGTCTGTTCAGACGTGGCCCACACAGGTGTGCGGGGCTGGGGACTCAGTCACCAGGAATGACACTGCTGCTGGTGACAGAGTTTTCCAAAATGATGACCAGATCCTGGCAAAGGTATGAAGAAAACAAAGTTCGTTCGCCCCTTGATTTACATAATAGTAGGATTTCTGGAAAACTGTATGTTAAACCAGCTCTCACATACTGAGTTTGTAATTGGGTTCTACACTAAAATATTTAGAAACATTTTCTCACATACACAAATATCCAGCGAGACATTTGAAATTCGAGTGGGGTGTGGGTGAATTCCTTGTCGGGTGGGACAGTCCCGTGTGTCACAGGATGTCTGGCCCTTCCTCGTCAATGCAGTAATTGAAATAGCCCCCACCAATTTCCAAAATGTCCCCTAGGGGGCAGCCCTGTGCCAGCTGAAACCGATCGTCCCAGGGCACCTGCCTGCCCTGGCTGAGAAGGGACGTTCTGATGTGACGTGGGAGCAGAGCTGAATAAAGGAGGGAGCTGGTGTGGAGGGCTGTTGCAGCCCACTTCACTGTTGCCCACCGGCATGCTGCCACCTCTGCCCTCCACACCAGCTCCCTCCTTTGTTCAGCTCTGCTCCCGCGTCACATCAGAATGGTCCCTCCTCAGCACCACCAAGTAAGGCAGCAGTTCCCCCAGCACTTTCTACCTCCAACCCTATTCTTACTTGCTTCACAGAACTTACCATCCGACACTGTACTATCATGTGTCTCTCCCACTACACTGAACTCTCTGAGGACAGGGACTGTCGTCTGTTCTGTTCACTGTGAAACCCCTGGTCCTCAAATGATGCCTGGCCGGGCAGGACACCTTCACGACCCAGCTGTGCAGGATGAGCCTGGCAGACACAGCAAACACTGGTCTAGAGCGATTTTACTGTTGGTCATGCAATTTCCTTTTTAAAAAAATTATACTTTTTCCGTTTATCAAGGTTTATTAAAGAACTCCCCAAATTATTAAATCATCTTCATTCTTCAGGAATTATTCATTCACAGAGCAGACCATTTTGTATCTTCTATCCAGGGCTCTCACGCACTCCTCGTGGGCACAATTAGGTGTCCACAGTGTTTGCCTCCTTTCTCCAGGTGCACGCATTGCCTCTGTGCAGGCGCGGCAGCGTTTCCCAGGCTGCTTCTCCAGCGTCTGAGAAGGGGCAGGGCTTGCAGCCCCAGACCCGGCATCTTGCAGGCTGAAAGCGGCAACGAGTACAGGCACCTTTTCCAGCCAGTAGAGCAATTTTAAAACCCTGCTAGGCCCTGCCTTGGTGGGGGAAGTTCCCGACAGAGCCCACGTCTGCCCGGTGGGCCCCATCCCAGGTGGCCTTGGGTTGTGTCCTCCTCAGACCCAGCTTCTGCAGCCAGCTCCTGCTCACAGGTGCTTCTGATTAAGCTTCCTCAATAGTCAGGGTTTTGGTTGTGTGTGTGTGTGTGTGTGTGTGTGTGTGTGTGTGTGTGTGTTTTCCCCATTTTTAAAGGTTAGTCTAACGGTTTCTCTGGCAACACAATTCCCTAAAAAACCTGGGCTTTTCATTTTCCGGTGCAGGTCCAGTGCCAGTGACGACATCCCTGGTTCTTTCCGGGACACGGTTCTGAAGCTGGCTTTGCTCCTTTGCTCCCTCACCCACACGCCTCTCCCTCAGGACGATAACCTTGAAGTTATGAGGCTCCAGAAGGAAGACCACATCCTGCCCTTGACTCTCACCTAGAAGCAGAGTCCCTGAATGTCGCCGGGTCTTTGCTGTTCACAGGGACGTCTTACTGTACGGAGACTAGAAGCGAGACTCGTTGGCTTTCCCAACTCTAAGACTGGATTTCAGAATCCTCTACTCCTTTCCCTTCTCCTTTGTAAACTAATTCTGGAACTCAACTCTTTCTTGTGATATCTTGCCAAAAGCAGTCAGTAACAACCGACACATACCACATTTTGTTTCTTCCAGCTTCTCCCCTTCAACTAAAAACCAGAGGACATGCAGATTGCTCTCCAAGTCACCAGATGGTTTGCCGCTGCCTGACGGGGTCCCCAGCTGTTCTGCCTGCTGCGTCTGTCTGCCCGCCACCTGGCCCCTAACTAAGCCCCTGCCACGTGTTTTAGGTTTTGGTTACAGCTGCCTTCCACCTCAAGGTACCAATTTGTGTATCAGTGAGAAAAGCTATAAAAAGTGATCAAGCCTCAAAGCTCAGTGGGTCAGTGGAATGGAAGTGTGCTTTTCAGGGACACAAATACCAGTGTACCGCCCTTGCTGCCCAGGTGGCCTGCCTCTCCGTGGTGACTCAGGACACCCCTCCCCCACACCTTCAGTCCCTGATTCCCCGGGAGTCCCGCGTGGGAGCACGCTACGTGCCAAGTCTGGAACTTGCAGACCTCACATCTTTGACTGCAGCTGCTTATGGCACCAACCTAACTACACAGGGGCTGGGAGATGCTGTTGACCTGGGCTTCCAAAGGTGAAAGCACGGGTTTGGTGGACACACAGCAGTCTCTGCCACACTACTGCTGAAACACAGGTTTTCATCCTGCCGGGAGCCCTTGAAGGCCCCACAGCTCTCCGCAGGAGTTTCAAGGACCACGCCAACCTTGCAGCAGTCACTAGTCCAGAGGTTCTCTGAGTCCAGGCCCAAGCTTGGGGGGCACTTCCACCCCCATCTCCCAGGCCCCTGGGGCCTCGTACCCTCCCCTGTATGAATGAACCACTGTTCTTCCTTGCGCTTTCTCTGATGTTCTCCATTCTCACGACGCTTCTCAACCTTCTGGGCTTTTCCCACTCCGCACCAGGGCACTGGAATGTTCTGAGCCCAGAGGAGCTGCATGAAGTGGGGCTGGGCAGGCAGAAGGCCCACAGACAAGACAGTGTGGAGAGACATGTATTGATAATTTTATCAAAAACTCAAGACTGACGGCAGTGCTGAGGCCAGGGCACATGAACCTACCAGCACACCTGAGAGTGAGCAGTTTGGAAAACCCGGAGACATTTAGGAGCCCGTGAGGAGCAGAGATGCTGAAGGGAAGGACCAAGGGCAGCTGGCAGGCACAGCATCAGTGTGGACCTCTCTGCACCCAGTGTGGCTGTCGACTGAAGGGCACACAGGCACAGTGGGGACGTCAGGAGGTCCCCCACGGGTGTCCAAAGTGCCCACCCTGCTGGTTTAACACCTTCATCTTCAACTCCCAAGCGCTTCCTCTGAGGGAGTCTGAAATTTGGGAACCATTTTGAACTTTTTTTCCTTAAGGCTCTAATGACCAAGTTGTAAAAAGTGAAACAAAATCAAAATCAAAGATTCAGAAAAAAACCCACGTTTTTACCAGATCTACTTTTATTTTAGAAGGAAGTTTGTAGTATAGGGTTAGTTTTGATTATATACAAGTTCTTCACATTTGTGTTTAAAATGCACAGACCTCCCTTATTTCTCTTGTTCCTGCTTAAATTAGCTGTTATTTTACAATACAAAAAATACCAAAAAATTGCAATCCTAAATGTATGTATAACACCCACAATCCCCAGCAATGAAATAGTTTACAATACTTACTCCATATTTACATGAGTGCAATAGATGCTAAATTATACATATTAACAAACTAAGCTTGAATCCAAACAAACAAAAAAACGGTAAATCACTACAGAACAAAACATTTCCAGAGCCAGAATTAGTTCAATGAAACAGGCTTCACTAGTGTTTAGAATGTTTTGTGCACAAATTCAGTTACCAGAAGTCGATTCCATTATTGCCATTAAAAGAGAAGGCGCTGGTTTTCTTCTCTCCCAATCATTTCCCTGCAAACGAAGGTGTTCAGGACTCGGGAAGTGTCTCCTGGGGGGCCACCCACAAACTGTCACCGTGCTGTCTGAGGCTGAGTTTGGTACACTGGGTAAACATTTCAGACTGAGAGCAGGTAGGTGGCCCAAGGACAGACCCTCTGCCTTCCCGGGTCTGTGCTCAGGACTGCCAATTCTCACAGAAACCACAAGGAAAAGGTCTCCTGGGACGGTGGGTCTGGGAGCTGGATTCTGTCGTAGTCCTGGAGCTCCTTCTCATCCCGGTCACTGCCCTAGAGTGAGCTTAGGTTGTTCGTGGTAAGTGCTCAGGGAGCGTTTGTTGAATGGATGGATGAATGACACCGGGGCATCGAAGGCGCTCCTGGCGAGGACATGCCAGCCAAGGAAGTGAGTCGCTCCCACTCCTTCCCCTCACACACGCCCTGAAGTGGAAGGAGTGAGACTGGCACCGAAAGGTAAAACGTCTTTTTCTGATAGTGCTCTGGTCTTTTCATTTGCCCCAGATTTCCTGGTGCGTCTCTCATCTTTCACCTCAGGCCTCACCCACAGACCCTGTCACGTTCTCCTTTTGCTGCCCGTCTTCTGTCCAGGGCTGCTTGGCCTCCTGGGTAGCTCAGGGGAGCCTGAGCTGCCTTCTCTCCATGCCTCTCCCCGCCTTTCGGAGGTGATCCCCAGAGGGAGGCACAGGCTTCCCCCTAAGCTGTGTGTGGAGAGGCGGACAGGAGAGGCCAGGAGGCCAGGGTGTGTGCGGCTCTCCATGGAGAAAACGGAAGCTGTGTATCAACAACCAGCCATGCCACTCCCACCACCAGTTTCCGGTATAGTAAACTATGGTCCTCGGAAATGACCATTAAAAATTTAGATAAAACCACAATGAAACACAGCCTGAAACCCCCTTTTTGGAAAATCTGCTTTCTCCAGGTATGGTCTTTGAACTTACGGACCTCCAGCAATGGTTCTCAGGAGGAGCCGGGCTGTCCCCGGCCACCCGCCAGCACCCAGAGGCGGAGCGGCTCACCAGACCCTCGCAGCGCCTGCACCAGAGACAGAGATTCCCACCGGCATCTGAATCTCCTGGCACACCGCTGCCTGAAGGGACTGGCTGCCGGTTTCCACGCGTGTGCTGACAGGTGATTCAGGTTGGCCAGTCGGCGCCAGATGCATCCAAACACACCGGGCGATGGGGGTGCCGCCCTTGGCTTTGTTTTCTGTGTTTCGGGGCCTAACTGGAAGACTTCTCTGAACCTGGACATCCAGTATGTGGCACAAAAACATACTGGGTGACACTCAGACACTGTTACATTTAATAAAAATACACTGAGATATTTTCCTGCTTTATGTACACTCCGAATGTCTGAGCATTCCGGACACTGCTGTAGAGTTATGTACAAGTGCAACATCGATGCTGTCGTGACGGCTTCAATCACGTCCAGGGCTCTCCTGTGGCATGCAGGCGCCTCCTCGGGTCCCTGTGACGCTCTCCTGGTAACCGGCTCTGCGCCGAGTGCCCTTTCTCCGGCCCTTCCCTTCCTCTGGCCCTTCTCTTCCTCTGGCCTGAGCCTCAAGGAAGCTGTTTGCCACGGGCCCGGGGGAGAAGCAGGTGGAGTCAGCTGTCCTCCACCGTTGGAGCAGAATTACACTTCATCGGCTCTTTCCTTCCTTTCTAAAATGGAACATTCTCTTTTAGGAAAAATAAATAAAAGATAACCGGGTGGCTGTGGGGCTCGGTGCAGGTTACTTCAAGGCATGGGACGGGGTGGCTGTGGGACAACTGTGGGGAAGAGACTGCTCCGTAGAACAAACGAGGATTCCCTGTGCGAGGAGCCTCTCCAGTGCCTCCCTCCTGGCCAAGAGGCCTCGTGGAAATCACAGAGGGGAAGGGCCAGGCCACGGAGGCTCTCCGTGGCTGTTGTTACCTGGAGTAGGGATGTGGGAAGTTCCGAGAGGTCTTTGCTAGAACCATCTGCTCTTTAACAGTGATGTGAAAACACAGCTTTTTGAGAGAAGAGTCTCAAAGTAGAGGTGTTCTGTGTACCAGACAGTGTCTTACGGTTCACCTTCTTTGAAAACATCTTTTCAGGCAACTCCTCATGGGAGTGAGGTCGGTACCAGGGAAGAGACAATACTCCCTCTCTAGGCACTGCATTCAGAGGTGAAATGCTGCAGTTCTTGCTCTTTTGAGTATTAATTTCTCCAAATTCACAAACTCGAGCATTGTTGTCTAGAGGTCTATCCCCAGGTTTTAAAGCACAAGAGGTCCTGGGAGGCTGCTGAATGACGCCAGAGGGCAGCACCACAGACAGGACAGCACGCGGCCCGGCGGCGCCCGGCGAGGGGGGCAGGGGCTGCCCCACCCTGCTTGGTCACTTTCCACGTGGCAGAGTTTTCCCTCCTTGTCCATTTTCCCATGTGCTTTTCATCCTTTTAGTGTTCACTGCCAGTCCCACAGCTACCAGCTGAGTCGGGGTGGGGGAGGAGGTGTGGGCGGGATGAAGAGCCCAGGCCCTCTCGGGGAGAGAGGGCGAATAGCTCCAGGTCCTTCTCCAGGCTCCGGGCAGGTTCTGCCGACAACAGTGGGCGCTGCCCTTCTCCTGGCGTGTGATTCCATGCGCAGCCTGCGGTGACCCCCAGCCCACGGCAGGCTGCAGGCACAGAGTCGCTCTCCCATCCCGGTGCCGTCCTGCGCTTTTCTGCTCCAGGGAGGTCTGTGACGCGGGTGCGTCCCTTCCCCTGTGCCGCCCTGGCAGCAGGCGGGCAGAAAGGCTGAGGCAGACGTCAGGCCTAGAGTTGCCTGGGGGCACGGGGACGCATGGGGACCACGCTCACTTAGTGTCCTTTCTGACAACAATACAAATAGGAGCTTTCACAGCTAGGTTGTTTTTGCTTTCCTTTCAGTCCTTGCTGCTGGGGTAAAGGTTCCTTGGGGTGAGAATTCTTTCCTGGCTGCAAAGTACATTTTAGAAAGAAAAAAAAGATTGCCAATGGAAACTATTTAAATTTTGTAAGAATGTAGGAATGCAATTATGTAAAAACTGAGGCTTATTAACTTTCCAACTGCTAGATCTATTTAAAGTCTAGGCACTTAGTGTTATGTGTATGTGTGTATGTGTGAGAGAGAGAGGAATTTCAAACGGATTTAGACTAAATTAATCAAGTTGCTCTAGAAAACTACCTATTACACCAGATTATGTTCTAAGTATCACTGCTGACCTTGACATTTAAAATAGCCCCCTTCTATCTGAGTTTAATATGATTCAAAAGAGATGGACCGTTATTAGTTCTCAACTAGAAAAAAGCTACTCCTTGGAAGAGAGGTATCTGCCTAAAACGTGCAAGAATAAACAGCACATCTTTTAAAAAAGATAGCAGGCTTCAGATGAAAACAAGTTCGTTCATCTGACTCGTTTGGAAAAGACCGTGTCCAGAATGACTGATGACGCATGTCTACTTGTAAACACCACATCTTTGTTTTCTGCGCAGCTGAGACCGTCCCAAGACCAGCCTCCCACAAGTAAACCTGAGTGTTGTTCCCAGCTCTCTCACTGGCTCCACTAAGGCCTACTCCAGCAACGTGTCGATCACCCCAGACATGTGATTAAATCAATCATTTCCTGTGCAAAAACAAAAGGTTAGGTGCTGGAGCACAGATGGAGAAACTGTCAAAGAAAGCTCGTGAACATGCAGATGAGTCGGATGTTTCCAGTCGGAGGGTGTCCAGTTCTCGGCCCTGCTCCGCTCTGCAGAGCAGCTCATGCCTGCCTGCCTGCCCCCTCCCTGCAGACGGCTCCAGCGTGCCACACCTCGCCACACTTCGCTCGCTCACGAAGAGTCCCTGGCCCCAGCATCAAATACAGGTCCCAGGCTGCGCAGGTGGCTGCTGCTTCCGGTTTCTCACCGCTCCTGACTTCTCTTTGTACACAATTGGCATCTGCTGAGAAATGTCCACCAGGGCGCTGGCTACCGCGAGACCTTGGGAGAACCCACGGAAGGAACACATGTTAAGGAGCAGCTTGCTTTTATGTTTAAAGATAATTAAAAACATTTGTTTACATTCCCATGGTGCAATAAATAAAGCAATAAAGTACGTAGGGAAGTCTTCTACTCTGCCCTCCCTCCGCCTTTCCCCTCTCCAGCTGAAAAATGGCTTTCATTAGTTTGCATATATTCTTTCAGGGTTTCATTATGCAAATACAGAAAAGTCTTCGCCTCTCCCCACTATTTACACAAAAGGCGTGGCCTGCTTTTCAGCAGATCAGTCAAGCCAGAGCTCTGCCTACTGGTGGGAGCATTTGAATCTGACTGCAGACACACCAAGCACTAAACTCTTCCTGCCTGCCTCCAAAAGGACACCAAGAAAAAGCAGCATTGTTTACAATGAAATTCAGATTCACTCCACACTGCCCAACCGGCACTGGTGATTTTTACATCTATATCATGACACAGGTTAGGACAGACTCTGGAATAAGCAGGGGCCTTAAACCTTTCCGGGCCTCAGTTCCCTCATCTGTAAGACGGGGAATAACAACACAGGGCTTGTATGGAGAGTCAGTGAGCGAATGGAAGTAGTCCTGCTTGGCTCATCACCCTGCCCCCCGCCCCGCGCCCTTTGCTGTAGGGACTGGTGGTTTCACTCCCCTGTTCTCCTTTCCGTACTTGCACCACCAGCTGATGTTCATTAGGGAAAAGGCCAGCCCAGGCTCAGAGTTGGGCTGAGGCCCTCGGGAACCACACTGGGAGACTTGCCACTTCACCTCACTGAGTCTATAAAATGGGGGGATGGGGAGTGGGGAGCTTTTAAGTGCAGCATCTGGTATTCAGTGGAGAACCCATACCGGTGGCAACTGTTACACCAAAGGCAGAGCCAGGTGCTCTGGGGGTCTGGAGAAGCACATACGCTCAAATGTAGGGGTGGTACGGGTAGAGAATGGTGGCAAAGAAGGGTGGTTCCACTTTTGGGGTCTCAAGCTGTGAGCAGCCCTTCACCAGGAGTCTAGTACGGTGGGTCGCGTCAGGAAGAGGCCGGCACAGAAAAGGCCACAGTGTTGTAAGCCCACCACCTCCTCACCATCCCAGCCGGCACCCTGCCATCAGGGAGAATCGGCCAACGTGGTGGCAAAAGACACCACCCCGAGTCTTCAGGTCAAGGGGTCATCCTGCCCTCAACACGGGCAAGGTCGAGATGGGGGCTCAGCTCACAGAAGTCCCTGGGCGAGGGCAAATCGAGCCGTTCCCCTCTGAAGTGAAGGCAGCAAATCCTGGCCTGGTCAAGCCTACAGGTGCCCCTTGCAAGGCCACCCCAGACACAGACCGCCAGGAAGAAAGCTGACTGGAAGCTCTGTTGAGCTGCACTCTGGGCTGTGAGCTCGGGCCCGGGTAAGGGCTCTGGGTCACACTTTCCTCAGGACACAAGGTGTTTTTGACTGAGGCAGCCCTGACCCCAAGAACCATCTCAATCAAAAGCTGTCTAAAGCATTCGCATTGTCTGACGCATCCCTCCCAAGCACGCCATGATTAATTAAGACACTTCCCTAACTGTGTTCCGTCATTCCTTCACGTTCAACAATACAACGATGTTTGTCTAAATTACAAAGACAAAGATAATGTATCTGATGGAATGGTGTAACAGAGACTGGTAAAATGTTATGTAGTAAGCTGTAAAAATGTTTATGAAGGTTATATGATGAAAGAATAAAAACGAGAGTGATGCAAACATTTCATCTAAATTGCCAGCAAGGGCTGGAAACAGAATAGTGTAAATTGATGGATGTTGGATAGTCGAGTGGTGAGTCAATTCTGAAAAACCTCCTTTCACTTGTAATAATCGTTGTTTTGTGTCTTACTTTTAAAGCAGAACGAGAAGCAAATGAGATGCAGTAGTTCTGGAAATACCCACTGGAGAACCACCAGCGTGGAGGAGCCCGTTGGAAGCCATGAGAACAGGTGAGGTGAGAGAGAACGAATGGGGTGAGAGGGAAAGGCCTGCACTGCCCACACCGAGAGGCAGAGGCAGCAAAGGGGCAGCAGAGCGGGAGGGGCCAGAGAGGCTGGAGGGGAAGGAGGGCGTGGCCAGGAGCATCTGCACCACTGGGAGGCTGAGGAAGCTGGTGCAGCGAGGGGAAGTCTGCACTCTCCCCTGGGAAGGAAGGTGGCCCCAGGAAAGAGTTTTGGGGAATACCACTGACAATGGGGTCATCTCACTGAATCCTCGGGCCCGAAGAGGCACTAAGCAGTATCGCTTTCACACCCAAGCTCTCAGGGAAAGAGAAGGATCGCTCACACTTCTAAAAAGTAAACCGAGTCGCTGACCCGCTCATCTACTCACCCGACTGCCCGGGAGGAGGGATTCCACCAAGACCTCGAGGGAGCCTCACAAACACTGAGAGGACAGCAGCTTTGTTGCCAAAACATGGCTCCAGGGCAATGGGTTTGGGAATCGTCTGGTGGAAGAAAGCAAAGGGTTAGCTAAGGCGGTGTTTCTCAAGCTTCACAGCGAAGCCTTCAGATGTGACTTTTTAAAGATGCTCTCTGTATGTTTCCATTGCTGTGCAACAAATTACAAAGTTAGTAGCTTAAAACAACACATCTATTATCTCAGTTTTGTAGGTCAGACGCCCGGACCTCTGTAGGGTTCTCTGCTTAGGGACACAGGACTTCCATCAGGTCTGGGAAATTCTTAGCTCTTATTTCACAAGAGTCTCAGCTCTTATCTTCACAAGGGGGAAGTCAAGTGTCAGCTGGCCTTTACTCTTCATCCTGAGGTTCTGGGGAAGAATCTGCTTCAAACTCTTTCAGGCTGTTGGCAGAACCCAGCTCCTTGCAGCTGTAGGCCCCAGGTCCTCATTTCCGTGCCAGCGGTCAGCCACTGTCTTCGAGTCCACGTGCGTTCCCGCTCACATGGCCACCTCAGCTTCAGACCAGCGGGGGTACATCAAGTCCTCACCACACTTCCTCTTCTGACACCAGCTGGAGGAAACTCTCCTCATATTACTTCGGGACTTTCATGACTTCTGCAAATTCCCTTCACAGCACTACCTCGAGTCCGATGAACTAACCGTAAGACAGGAATCTTGGGGGCCATCTTTAGAATCCCGCTCACCATACCTCCACATATGTCAGCAACCTCTTCGGTTTTGGTGAAGAGAGTAACTTCCAGAACCACCCTGGCTGTGGCCCGGGGCAATGACTGGACGGGTGTAATGGCAGAAGTTGGGAAACCAGATGTGAGCAACTACAATAGTCCTGGGGAGAGACGGCAGTGGCCTAGACCAAGGTAGCAGGTAACAGTGGTGGAGGGGTGTGCATTGGTTTGGAAATATTTTTGATGATAAAGACAAAAAGATTTGTAAGAATGAGTCAAGAGTGATTTCATGATTTGGGCCTGAGCCACAAGGATGATGATGATATACAAGTTCAGCAAGATATGCCAGAGGAGCAGGTGTGGGAAACACTACAGACAACTCAGTTTTAGATGTGTTACGTTGCAGACACCTGTTCAGACAGCCAATGGGGACACTGAGTGTGCAGTTTAATATATGAGTTGGAGGCTCACTGCAGAGATGTGAGTGGAGACCTCATGGTATTTAAAACAATGGATAAGACCACTGTGTGGGGGTGGGTTTCTGGATGTCTGTGTACTCCCAACATTCTTATGTTAAATTATAGTGCCCCAGGGTGATGGCATCTAGAATTGGGGACTTTGGGAGAAAATTAGGTCAGGAGGGCGGAGCTGTCATTATTGGGACTATTATTTTCCCTTAGAAAAGAGACCACAGGGAACTCCCTCATCCCTTCTACCATGTGAAGGTTTCAGCTAGAAGGCATGGTCTATGCACCACAAAGTGGGCTCGCAGAAGACAGTGAATCTTCCAGCACCTTGATCTTGGACTTCCAGCTTCCAGAACTGTGAGAAGTAAGTTTCTGTTGTTTATAAGACAACCGGTCTCTGGTATTCTGTTATAGCAGCCCAAACAGACTATGACACTCAATCACCAAAGGGGCAGATGCAGAAGATGTGAGAAGAGGCCCAAAGACTGAGCCTGGTGTGCACCACGGTTAAAAGGTGCTGGGGAGATGGAGGGGTTGAACGAAGAACACTGAGCAAGAACAGCCTTAGGGAAAGTGTGCAGTGTCCTGAGAGTCAAGAAAGTGTTGTAGGGTTCACCAACTGTGTCACATGCTGCCGACATATGACATAATGGTCTTGTTCAGTGCCTTAGGTTTATCTACTATTTTCTTAACTTTTTAAAAATTTTACATTTTTTTTTAGAGAGGGAGAGAAACATCAAATGTGTGGTTGCCTCTCGCATGCCCCCTACTGGGGACCTGGCCTGCAATTCAGGCATGTGCCCTGACTGGGAATCAAACCTGCGACCTTTTGGTTCACAGGCTAGTGCTCAATCCACTGAGCCACACCAGCCAGGGCTGTCTAGTCTTTTCTATCCCACAGATTATTACTGGTTTACCAGGACAATGTTTGCTTAGATTTATGCACATGTCCACTTTTTATTTACTCACTATTCCTTATTATTCCATCCTCCTGGGGTAATTTTCCTTCTTTCTAGCACATCCTTTAAACATTTCTTTTGTACAGGTCTGTTGTGGGCAAACTCTGTTTTTCTTCTAATCAGAAGATATCTTTATCTTTATTTTATCCCTGTTCTTGGAACACAGTTACCGGGCACACTCTTCTAGGCTGGCAGTTCTCTTTCAGTTCTTTGAAGATACTCTTCCACTCTCTCCTGGTCTAGTGTTAACTTATGAAAAGTCAGCTTTCACTTTGTCACTCCATTGTAGGTGATCTTTTCTTGTTCTCCCAGTTATTTTTTAATGCACAAAAATACCCGTAATGTAAAACTTACCATCTTAACTACTTTTAGGTGTATAGTTCAGTGGCATCAGTTACATTCGTTATCGTTGTGCAACCACCACCTCCAACCATCTCCAAAGCCGTGTTCACCTTGTAAGGCTGAAGCTCTGTACCCATCAAATAGTAACTCCCCATACCCTCCTCCCGCTCCAGCCCACGACAACCACTGTTCGACTTTCTGTCTCTATCACTCTGACTTATTGGCGGTACTTCATATAAGTGGAATCATACATCACTTGTCTTTTTGTGACTGGATTATTTTGCTTAGCATAATGTCCTGAAGGTTCACCGATGTTGTAACATGTGTCAGAATTTCTCTTTTTTTTTAAGGCTGAAAAAAAGCATGTATACATTGTGTTCTGGTTACCTACTCATCATCAAAGGGCATCTGGGCTACTTTCATCTTTCAGCTGCTGTGGATGATGCTTCTGTAAACATGGGTGTGCAAATGTATCTTTGAGACCCTGCTGTCAATTCTTTTGGGTGTAAACCCAGAAGTGGAATTGCTGGATCATATGATTATTCTAGTTACATTTTCTGATAAAAACCCAATACTGTTTTCACAGCGGCTGCGTCACTCTCACATTCCCTTTAACAGCGCACATGGCTCTCCTTTCTCCACACTGTGGTAATCAGTTTTGGCTCTGGCTGATTTCACGATGTTCTCTTTGTTTTGGAGTTTTGCAGTTTCACTATGATGAGTCCAACTGTACTTTTCTCTCCCCTGCCTTCCCTTTGCTCTTGTTCCTTAATCCTTCTTGTGATATGTTTTGCATGTCAAATCTGTATTTTGTAACTTTTATCAAATCTGGAAAATTCTCAATTATGTCTTTGAATTCTGCCTCTCCTCCATCCATTTGTTCTGGGACTCTGATAATATATATGTTAGATCTTCTCATTCCATCCTCCATAAGCTTATTATCTGCCATATTTTCCATCTCCTTGTGTCTCCTGCACTCTGCATAATTTCTTCAGATTCATCTTCCAGTTCAAAAGCTCTTTCCTCACTTGTGTCTCATGTGCTGTTTAATATGTAAACTGAGTTTTTTTTTAAATTTCTACTCCTATATTTTCCATTTCTAACCATTCCACTTGGTTGTTTTTCAGATATGCTTGGCTATGCTTGACTCTTGTGGCTTTTGCATCTTTATGCTTCTACCTTTTAAAAAAATATTTTATTTACTTATTTTTAGAGAGGGGAAGGGAGGGAGTAAGAGAGGGAGAGAAACATCAATGTGTGGTTGCCCCTCATGAACTCCATACTGAGGACCTGGCCCACAACCCAGGCATGTGTCCTGACTGAGAACTGAACTGGTGACCTTTTGGTTTTCAGGCTGGTGCTCAATCCACTGAGCCACACCAGCCAAGTCTTTTATTTCTGTAAACATTTCATACATCGATATCATACATTCTCTAGGTATCAATTCCAACATTTGAAGTCCTGTCTAAATCCACCACCTGTTGTTGCTGACTCTTATTCATGAAGGTCTGTCTCTCTTGTCTTTGGGAATCACTTCAGACCACTCATGGTTCTGGTTTTGGTTCCCAGCTTGTTCTTTCTCTGCTAAGGGAAAGGAGAGTGATCCCTGAAAATATTACCTACTTCCTGTGAGCTCAGTAATGCTTTAGTAAGTATGTTTTGTTCAGGATTAATAGCTGTTTTCCCAAAGTATCTACAATATATCATCACTTTATTAAAACAGAAAGTCTTACTACTTTTCTCATCATTTGAAGGGGGTCAGAAATATTTTCTACAGAATTCATAGTGAATTATGATTCTGTCCCTTAAAAAAAATCTCCCCACATCCTTACAAGAACAATGGTTCAATTTAGCTTTATTAAGTTTTCAAGTATTATGTCATAGAATATCAGACAAATCATTTATATTTTAAAATCCCCTTAACATGAGATTTCTTAGTAATATTAATAGAAGACTAGAAAGTGAAAGCAAAGAACACATGGCAACTTTGCTGTGTTGGCTTGTTATAAAAGAAAGAGAGGAAAAGGCAAGAGGCCATGGGACAAAGTTCTTGCTCTCTCAGATTTCCCAGACTCAGAAGCATGAGTCTTGACAAATTAAGTTGTAGTGACTTTGTAATCACATTCTCACCTTTATACTCCCCCCAATAAGATCGGGAGGCTCTTCATCGGTTTCCAAGGCAACATTTACAGAGGCAAAGGGACGACTGGCCATCTGCTGCATCTCTCGAAGCAGTTGCTGGCAAAGAACACAGCAAGCATTAATGTAGTGAGCACTGGGGGGATTTTATCAGAGAATACTATATATTAAAAATATCTCATCTTCCCTGATTCAAACGAGTCAAAGCCAAAATATTTTTACAACAGCTGGGGAAACTTGGATAGGAACCAGGTACTAGATAACGTTAGGAATTATTAAATCTTGTTGGATATGATCACAGTATTGTCACTATATTAAAGAAAAAATCCTCATCTGTTAGAGATAAATACTTTAGTATGGATACAATGCCTGCTGTAAATACATGAAATAAATGATATAGCCCTATCTCTTCCTATTTTTATTACTAGATTAAAGCCAGGCTTTTTTTTTTTTTCCTGCTGACACTTAAACCAAGTATTTTTGCAGCCACAAAACCCCGTCTCTTGTTACACAGCAGGTAGGAGTGGAAGAAGCTCTATTCCCAGAGGTGGGGTAAGCTAAAAACACAAACAAGCGCGGAGTACTGCAGAGTTAGAGGGACAAGCAGGAGCTCTGGATTTGGGGAGGCTTGGATGTGGATCCCGCTCCATTGCTCCTCAGCTGTGTGACCCTGAAAACGGTGTTTCAAGTTTCTAGGCTTCAGTTCCTTCCTCTCTGAAATGGGGTTTTACTGCTGTGTGTCGGTTGGATCAAATAGTGTCTAGTACAGGGTGGGTGGTCAGTCATGTGTCACCGAGGGCATCAGAGATCTGGCCATGCTGTTGCAGCTTTGGGTCCTGTCTCAGAAGCCTGACTTCAAACCATCCCCTCGGAACTACCGTAGGACTGGAAGTCTTGGGATGGACAAATCATGGCTATTTTAGAAGGGCATTTTTATGCTAAATATATTTTTTAAAATATCAACACGAAGATTCTTACATCTCATAAAGTTGCTGGTCTATTTACTCAACAAATACATGCAACAACCTACTCTGGGTCGTGTGCTATTCCAAGTGCTGGAGCCACAGTAAGACCCTCACCCAGGTCCCATTCGAGTTCCTTTACAAAGAGTGCAGGGGACAGTATGTGTAAAAGCACTAAAATGACCTGGCACATAGCAAGGACTTATGCAGTATTAGCCGCTATTGTTTTTGTTGTTATAAATAATATCACATCATTTCTTCTACAGTTCTGAGAGGGATAAGCCATGACTAACTGGTTAGAAATGATGAAATATATTCTGAAGGGTCAGATTCACAGTAACAGAGAAATGTGAAATCACAAGGGTAAAAACTTAGTTTATTGGTTGGTCAATTGCATAATAAGCATACTTTCTAAAAAAACCTTTTTTCAAAGGTGTCCATCTTTTCCTTATTTTTTTCATGTATGTTGTAATTATTTTCTAGTTGGCTATCTTCTGTCTTATTCATTTTTTAATTCTTTATACACTTCAGGATTAATTTTTATGCAGGTAAATCTTTACTATACTGTATTTCAATAGTCGTACATGAAAATAATTTTGTACCCTTTTCAGTAGTAACAGGACTTACTTCTCTTTCTCTCAGTGCAGTCTAGAACGTCCAGAATAAAAGTACGTGACTATGAGGACGACATGACAATTAGACGGCCTGAAAAGGCTGAAGGCCCAGGTGTAAAGCCCAGTTCGGCCTCTAGGATACTGTGTGGTGACAGGTGAGCTATACCTCTCTGGGCCTCAACTCCCGTACCTGTGACATACGGCTGGTGCCAGTAACCATGTCACAGAGTTCAATTAGTTAACCCACAGAAAACTTAGGGCAGTGTCTAGAATTTAGGAATGCTCAAATGTCAGCTTTTACTATGAGTAATGTCTGTATTTTATTGGTACAAACTTTGTTCTTTTTTTTTTGTCATGAATGGTGTTGGTTATTTTTGAAGTGTAAAGGAGGTATAATTTTTGAACTTACTAACATTTTATTTTTCGAGTAGGAATTGGTGTTGAATTCCAAAATGATTAAATGATTACTTGGCCACTACTAAAAATTTAGGTTTTATTTTTTATTGCCTTTTATTCTGTACTGGCCTTTATTTTTTTGGTGCTACCTTTCTCAGGTATCAGTTTCAAGGTTTTCATGCACAATTTAGGACTCTTCAAAATTTTGTTGGTTTATTTATCTGAGAGAGAGAGACATCATTTTTGTTGTCCCACTTCTTTAAGCATTCAATGTCTGCTTCCCGTAGGCACCCTGACCGGAGTTCAAACCTGCAACCTCGGCATTAGAGCGGGACAGCACTCTAACCAACTGACCTGCCCAGCCAGGGATGATTTAGGGCTTGTAAAACTTCTTATCTTATGAGGACCGTTTACATGTTTTGAAAATAATTCTCATGACCACCCAAGGAGGAACAGACTATTATAATCATCATGAGCTCATCTCAAATTGAAACTCCCTGGGTCTAATAACGCCCGTTGTGCAGAGAATAATATTTTGACAAGTTCTGAATTCCTTCTTCCCTGGTTACTAGTGTACTGTGGCTCCCACGCTTTTCTCACTCCATTTGGAGAACTTGCATTTTTTCTGAATATTTACAATTCATTGGGACTTTAAAATATCTTAGTTACAGAGCTATTGGAGAATCCTTTGAATATGTTATCCACTGAATTTTTAAAATGAAAACAAAGAGGACGCAGCATCACCTCTATGATAGCATCACCTTTACATGGGTCAGGAAAGGTGTCAGGGCCTCGGGAAGAGACCCACGTCCTGGAACCTGTCTTAACCCTATCACACGAGCTAACGCTCTATCAACAGTGCTGAGTGCTTCTGAGTTTTGGTTTTAGATACCCCATTCTCTTCCAAATCTTGTCTATAGATTGGTATTTTTTAGATTTTTTAAAAAAGTTATTCATTTATTCTTAAGCAGAGGGGAAGGGAGAGAGAAAGAAAGGGAAAGAAATATCAATGTGTGGTTGCCTCTTGTGCACCCCCACCAGGGACCTCAGCTGCAACCCAGGCATGTACCCTGACTGAGAATCGAACCAGTAATCCTTTGGTTTGCAGGCTGGCACTCAATCCACTGAGCCACACCAGCCAGGGCCATAGATTGATTTTTATGCAGAAAAAAAGGCATGAGTAGACACAGAAAACAAAGGAGGGCATATACGTTTAGATCTCACTGTATTTCCATTAGCAACAGTACAATACCTGATGACCAGAAGGCAGAGTATTAACAAGTGAAAGTTGCAAGAAACAAAATTCTTTTATTACTTAATTTTTAAATCACTTTTATTGTTATTCTATTCAAAGTTCTTATGCTGTAACTTTTAACCAAGTGTGTTTATTTGACTTGTCTATTTTAAATATTTGCTTGATTCCTCACTTTTGTAATGAAGCTTTGGAAATACATGATGACTCATTAAAAAATAAAACACAATAAAAAATTTAATTAGATAGATATTTACCTTTCCTTGAATAATGAGACAATTTTGAGATGCTTAAATGACTGATTTTACTCTCATTCTCAGGAAAGGCTCTTGTGAAGCCTGTGTTATTGAGCCCTCAGATCTGCAGCCTAAGTTAAGGACCAGCGTTCTGGTAGGAGAGGTAAAACCAGCACCTGTAAGTCAATACTAGAGTTTCCTTTCAGAAAGTTAAGACCATGCAGGGCAGAATTAGTTACACTTTACATAGAACTACCTGAAGTCTACTCACCATCTGTAGAAAGGGTGGCATTATTCTCACCGTGGATGTGTCCATCAATGAACACTAACTCGCTAACACTGGCATGCTTAAGGAAAGTGTGTAGAAAGGCAAAGCTCTCACAAGGATTCGCTTATCTTTACCCACTGAGGCTTACCTCTCTGCGTCTGGAGGCCCAACAACTTTGTTTGATCTTCCAAACCACAGCAGCCACCAGGAGCAAAGAGAGGAAACAACTGTGAGAAAGCAAAGTACCAAGTTATTATCCCAGCCCCCACAGTCAGCACCACTGTCACCCACATTTCAGGCCAGGCGGGGAGGCAATCCCCCAAACACCTACCCTGAGCTCCTCTCTGATGAGAAATCACAACCATGTCCATTCATAGGAAGCAAAGTGTGCCAACCTTTTGGATTGTCTTGTCCCCAGAAGTTACCTGAGGAGAGCACTGACCTCCCATTGGGCCTTACTGCAATGGCCCACCATGGCTTATCCCACATAAGAAAAATAATGCTAACGTAACTATGACAAAGAATAGCATGCTATGTAATCTAAATTAGCATATGTTCACTGGTAAAGTCCCAAAAATAGGAAAAAAGTTAATTTTAAAGTAACTTGATAAGAAGGGTAAATGTAGAAGAAACAAGCTTATGTATCATATCATATACTCAATTATATTTTTACAAAGAAATACATACATTTTTTATAAGTACCGCGCGCTAACCGATTGTGCCACTGGAGCCCCCAGAAATACATACATTTTTTTATAAGTAAAATGATCAACTTCAAGCTAGGAACTTTCTTCAAAGTATTAGGCGAGACTAACTCCCAGTGGTCACATAATTCCAAGTCATTCCCACGTTCTCCCAAATGTAAACTGGGCACTCGGTGGTTTGAAAAGCTGCTGTGATAGCCATGAACTGACTTCTGGTTAAAGGGGTAACTAGCTGAACAAATATACCTCTTAGAGAACTGCTGAAGTAACTTTAAAACTGGCGTTTTCACTCACTAACTTGTGAAAGGGGCTTGCTGCCGAGTATCGTTGCCCAGCGTTACACACAGACCTGACGCCCTCGGCCTGCGCCATCAAGCACCCTCCTGCTGAGCTCCGCGTCTGCAGGATGGGTCAGCTTGGCAAATGGCAGCCTCAGTGCACCCAAGCACTGACCCCAAGGCCGGCTTCCCAGGCTGGCTGGAGAAAGGCACTCACTCTAAGATGCTAGGATGATTAAACTTCGGCCCTTTCACAAATAGAAGCCTCAAAGTTCAGACATCTCGCCACTTCCTCAAGATACAAGAGTGTGCAGACCCCTCCCCCGGTACCCTGACAAAAGGCAAGGGGCCCCAGGGCCTTCACTCAGGGGGAGCCATCAGTTACTATCTGCTGGCCCCCTCGGCTGTTCTGACACTGCTGATCCTTCTTCCTTCCTGACAGTCTCTGTTTTCCTGGTATCAGTACTTTACTGGGCCAGGTCCAGGTCTAGGCTCATGGAGTACATCAGTGAACACAGCAAAAGCCCACTGTTCCCATGCGGGAAGTTTACATTCCAGCAGGTGGAGACAAACAGGAAGTGATATAAAAAAACCAACATAAAAGAGCATGTCAGGCAGTAGTAAATGCTACAGAGAGAAAAGGGGTGCAAGGGGTACCAGTGGCATTCTAAAGCAGGATGGTCACATGGGCCTTACTTCTCAAGAAGGTGACATGTGAGCAAAGACTTGGAGGTGTAGTACTGGAAGTAATCAATCTGGATGAGGTCACCATGGGATTGAATACAAGTACATAAGAATGTCTAGGGGGCACCCCAACTGTGGGGTCAATGGACACGGCCTGTCTAACCCTAACCCCTCTCATGACTGAGGGCTGGCCAGACGGCCACTGGCCAGAAGGAATGTGTACTGTTTTGGGAATGGCTTCTTGTCCTGTGACTGCCTCTGGACCCTTTCACACACTGAGATAATGTAGTTTAGAGTCATGTGTAGGACGTGTAGGACGTGTGCCTCCTTTGTCTGGGAAGCAGAATAACGAGCCTCAGACTGGAGGAGGCGTGGTCTCTCTCACCTACCACCACCTACGCCACCTTCGCTGCACTCCCCTGTAATGCGAGTAGCCAACGGCAGGTCTCATTTGCTAGTGCTCCGGGCGGTTTTTTCGGAATATTGCAAACACTTAAGGAGCCCCCTGTTTTGGGTTTGGAGCTCATGTGCTACACCAACATTGACAATTTGGGGAGGACAAAAAGGAGCAATAAAGGAGTCTGAGAAAAGCAACCTCAGTCTTTTTTGGTTTCCATGCATAATCCCACTTTTTGCTGTTTTTATTCTAACAGATAAACACAAGGAGGCAGCAAATCCACATGAAGCGAATGAAAACAGCTTCTCAGCTGGTCAGGATACTGTTGCGGCAGCTTAGGACAGGGCTGGCCTCAGAGGGGAGGACCCTAGTGGCACCCAGAGGCTTCTCTTGGAACTACCCTCTCAACACCAGGCTCACAGTGTCCCTTTCCCCCTGAGGCCGGGGTGGGGCTTCTGTCTTCAATTCAGACCTGTTGAAAACATCAGCAACACTGTCCACCCCCACCGCATTCTAGTTTTTAGAAGGGCACAAAGAGCATATCAACATACAGTGATTGTCCCTCAAAGCTGATACATGTGATTTCTCCTAGGGTAATATAACAATGGAGAATTTACTAGTTATTTCAACGAAGGTGGCACTTGCCAATAAGTCTCCCTTCGTTTTTTCCTACCACTAACGTGGCTACAGGTGTGGCTGTGACTCAGTGTTCACCCTATGAGAGTCACTCTTATCAATGGTTCTCTGCATTTTTCAACACAAATGTAATTTTTAAAAAGTATCATGAAAAAATTTTAATCATACACAGAAACAGAGACAACAATCTAGTTAATTCCTATATGTCCATTATTTAACTTAGACCATTATTAACATTTTGTCAATATTATTCAAAGATCATTCTTAAAGTATTTTTTTTAAGCCCTGGCCGGTGTGGCTCAGCTGGTTGAAGCACTGTCCTGTAATTGAAAGGTTGAGGGTTCAATTCCCGGTCAAGGCTCATACCTAGGTTGTGGGTTTGACCCCCGGTCTGGGTTCCCAGTCAGGGCATGTACAGGAGGCAACCAATCTATGCTTCTTTCTTGCATCAATGTTTCTCTCTCTCCAAAAGCAATGAAAAAATGTCCCCAGGTGAGGATTAAAAAAAAAAAAAAAGAGTTTTTCTTTCAACACTAGGACAGTGACCCAGGCTACGGGCCCCCTACTTTCTGTCAGCTCCATATCTAAGGAGAAACCAAGAATCCTCAGCCTTTTTGTTCTAAACCTGTCTCTGTCTATCTGAGACGTCAAAAATCTATGCCTTGATTCTAGGTCTTCTTTTCCACGTTTTTGTATGTGTCTTTTGAAAACTCACAATTTGTCTAAAAGCTCAGGGAAATAGACATCTGCTTATTTCTCACCAGCTTAACTATAATTGTGAGGCTAGAATACTATTTTTTTAAAAGATTTTATTTAATTATTTTTAGAGAAGGGAAGGGAAGGAGAAGAGAGGGGGAGAGAAACATCAATGTGTGGTTGCCTCTCGCATGCCCGCTACTGGGGACTTGGCCTGCAACCCAGGCATATGCCCTGACTGGGAATCGAACCAGCGACCCTTTGATTTGCAGGCCAGCACGCAATCCACTGAGCCACACCAGCCAGGGCAGAATACTATTTTTTTAGAGTCCTCAACTTTCCTTCCAGAGGATGAGGCCATTAAAAAATGATCTTCTTAAGACATAGGCAGTACATTCTTTGACATCTCTCTTAACAATATTTTTTCTGATATAGCTCCTTGGGCAAGAGAAACAAAAACAAATAAACAAATAGGACCACATCAAACTAAAATGTTTGCACAGCAAAGAAAAACATACAACAAAATGGAAAGACAACCTACTGAATGAAGATATTGACCAATGATACATCCACTAAGGGGTCAATAACCAAAATTTATAAAGAACTCATGCAACACAACACCAAAATAACAATCCATTTAAAAATGGGCAGAGGGCCTGACATACAGATGGCCAAGAGACATGTGAAAAGATGTTCAACATCACTAATCATCAGAGAATGCAAATTAACCACAATGAGACATCACCTCACACCTGTCAGAACAGCTATTATCTGTAAGTCAACAAACAAATGTTGGCGAGGATGCGGAGAAAAGGGAACCCTCGTGCACTGTCGGTGGGAATGCAGACTGATGCAGCCACTGTGGAAACCAGTATGGAGGGTCATCAAAAAATTAAAAATGGAACTGCCTTATGACCCAGCAATTCTACTTCTGGGTATATATCCAAAGAAACCCAAAATACTAAATTGAAAAGATATACGCACCCTTATGTTCACTGCAGCATTCTTTACAACAGCCAAGCTATGGAAGCAACCCAAGTGCTGACAACAGATGAGTGGATAAAAACACTGTAGTACATGTATACAATGGAATATTACTTGGCCATAAAAAGAACAAAATCTTACCATTTGCAACAACATGGATGGACCTTGAGGGTATTATGCTAAGTGAAATAAGTCAGACAGAGAAATACAAATACCGTGTGATTCCACTTATATGTGCATCTAAAGAACAACATAAACAAGCAGAACACACTCACAGACGCCGTGGACTGATGGTTGCCAGAAGGGAGGGAAACTGGGGGACTGGGTGAAAAATGTGAAGGGACAAATTGGTAGTTACAAAGTAGTCACAGGGATGTCATGTACAGTGTAGGGGCTACGATCAATAATACTGTAATAACTCTGTATGGTGCCAGGCAGGTACTTGAATTATCAAGGGGATCACTTTGTAAATTATATAACTGTCTAGCCACTATGCTGTACACCTGAAATTAATATAAAATAGTATTGAATCTCAACTGTAATTGAAAAAAAAAAAAGAATGGCCTTTTTTTCCTGTGCTTCCGAGTCCAGCCTTCCTTAAACTATATACGCATTTCTGCGCTTTGCCTTGACCTCCCAGCCAGCCTGAACAAGAGACATTGCCACTTCTTCCCAAGTTCCAGTGGTTCACACTTCACCATTCTGCTTAGAATTAGGCCCAGGGCAGCAGGATCCCCTATCACTTTCACCTCCCAGAAAGGGAAAAGGTCAACAAGTCATGGATTTGTTGAGTGTCTGCTGTCGACCTGGCGAGAGTCTCAGATGCAACCGAGATAATTGGGTTTCGT